CCCGCAGACTTCTGGGACGGCGGCGGCCCCGGCTCCGCCCCGCCTTCGGGCTTATTTGCATAGGAATATTTCCATTTAAACTCCCAGCAGCCACTGTGGCTATACGTTTATTATTTAGAACAATGAACACTTTATCAGATCTAGTTATTAAACACATTGGCTACGCTATGTGTTTCACTAATATACGGAATAGCTGAATTATTAGCTCGGTTTTTTAAAGAAAGTCACCCTTAGTGTAAAGAAATTTATTATTGGAACTTTAAATAGATCGTGGGTCACGCTATGGTTTGTGCTCGCTTCGGCAGCACATATACTAAAATTGGAACGATACAGAGAAGATTAGCATGGCCCCTGCGCAAGGATGACACGCAAATTCGTGAAGCGTTCCATATTTTGCTTTGCTTTCCTAATGTTCACAGTTGGGGAAACTGAGGCTCCCTTAAGCGAAGCGACTTAGTGGACGACCCTTCTGGCTTCGAATCCCATCCTCAACGCCTTCTGCAAGAACTGGTTCTGTTCACTCCATGCTTTGCCTTCCTTTTCTCATGCTCACCGATGGGGAAACTGAGGCTGCCCTAAGTGAGGTGACGTTCCTAACTGCGGCTTCTTCCGGCTTCGAACCCCACCCCCAATTCTTCCTCCAAAAACTGGATCTGTTCATGCCAGACCCTCCCCAGTTTGGGCAATGCAGGGAGATTTCCTGGGGTTGCAGCAAGGGCGCACCCAGAGGCGCTGCACCGTCTGGGCAGGGGCGCGGGGGCCACCCGGGAGCCGGGCTGGGAAGCGGGCTGCGAGGAAACCCGGCGCGGTCGGGGGCTCCGCTGCCCCAGAGACCCCCAGCCCGCGCCCCGGGGTCCAGCCCTGCCCGCTGCAGCGCAGGCGGGAGCCTCTGAGCTTGTTGCTGCAGGAGCCCCTGGTCCTCAGAGCTGGGCATGTGCACTTAGCACCTGTCTTTAAAATTTTTTAAACGTGTGTTATAACTGGATGGATGGATGGATGGATGGATTAGACAGACAGATAGCTGGATAGGTTGGACAGACAGACAGATAGATTAGACAGACAGACAGATACATAGAAAATGGAATAGAGCGCACCCAGCTCCCAGATCTTGGATTCTACCACAGTGCCCCAATAACGGGACGGGTTTCTTGGGGAAATGGCTGGTCGTGGGATGGAGTTAGGAACATACGAGACGCGCCTGGAGCAATCCTGTAGCTCCAGAAAGTAAGAAAGTGCTCAACAAATTTAAAAGTCCCACAATGATGGGGCTACTTTAAAGAGACATAGGAGCTAGCTGGGAGAGCTACCAATGGCCAAAGCTGGAAGATTTGAGCAAGAAAATAAATATTGAATTATAACCCAAAGTAGGAAGGAAGTGTCCATGAGTCCAAACTGATAGGAAGGATGGAATAAATCAAGTGGGAGAAGAGACCGACCTCCCCTGCGGAATACTCAGTAACTTATGCAGACGCTCCACGCTCCACACTCCTGCAGGCTGCGCTGAGGACTTCCTCCCCAAGACGACAGTACTGGAAAGGGGGAAAGGTCACTTTACAGTGGGCAAGTCTGCCAGATGCACAGCCAGGTGATCGAGGTAACAGCAGCAGTGTCAGGGGGACAGTAGCCTTGATACACGCGATAAAGAGGGTCCTTCACCTCCTGGGCTTCCTCCTGCAAATCCATCACCCCGTCCAGAAAAGCATCAGACAAACCCCAACTGAAGGACGTTCTGCAATAAATCCTGACCAGTCCTCTGCAAAACTGCCCAGGCCACCCAAAGCGAGGGAAGTCTGAGAAACTTGCAGCCAGAGGAGCCTAAGGAAGTGACTATTTAATGTGGTGTCCCAAAGGGGATCCTGGAACCGAAAAAGTACATTAGGGGGAAACTGAGGAAACCTACACAGAGCACGGACTTCAGTTCACAGTAATGTATCAATACCGGTTCATTGATTGTGACAAATGTACCATGCTAACAGAAGATGTTAACAGAGGAAACTGGGGGTGGGGTATGCAGGAACTGTGCATTATCATCGCAACAATTCTGTAAATATAAAAGTATTCTAGGCCAGCCCGTGGCTCACTCGGGAGAGTGCGGTGCTGATAACACCAAGGCCACGGGTTCAGATCCTATATAGGGATGGCCGGTTTGCTCACTGGCTGAGCGTGGTGCTGACAACACCAAGTCAAGGGTTAAGATCCCCTTACCGGTCATCTTTAAAAAATAAATAAATAAAAAATAAAAGTATTCTAAGGGCCGCCCATGGCTCACTTGGGAGAGCGTGGTGCTGACAACACAAAGTCAAGGGTTAAGATGCCCTTACCGGTCATCTTTAAAAAAAAAAAAAAAGAAAGTATTCTAAATTAAGTTTATTTAAAAACAATGGTTCAGGGCCGGCCCGGTGGTGCACTGGAGAGTGCGCCGCTTGGGAGTGCTGCTACGCTCCTGCTGAGGGTTCGGATCCCATGTGGAGACCGGTTCCCGCTCACTGGTTGAGCGTGGTGCGGGCGCAACACCGAGGGTCAATGGTCAGTAAAAAAGACAAAAAAGGAAAAAAAATAAAAATAAAAAACAATGGTTCAAATATCAGATGGTTGTTCTGGATCAGGGTTCAGTTCCCCAAAGAAGGGTCATGCTGTGATCATGCAGAAAGTTCCTGTTCCCCCTGATGGCAGTGGGGGTTGAGTACTGGAGCTGACTGGGTCCGAAACTCTCTCAAAGGCCCCAGAAAAATAGACATTGGCATATCACGAGACCTTGGCATATCCCAGACATTGGCATATCCCAGACGATTCCTGCCACTTCCCAGGAGGCCTTGGAATTTCCAAAACATTGAGGGAAAATGTAAAACTATCACGAATGGAAACAAGACACATAAACCAGCCATAAAGTGAAGCTAAACATGTCTCTGTAAATAATGGCACTTGCCCCCAGCCAGGGCTTTGTCTGCATGATGGTCTCATTTACTCTCCTGCTGATCCTATTTTTCCCATGGGGAAACTGAGGCACAGAGAGGTTTAAGTGATGTTTATGGGCTAAATCAGGTCCCTCCCAAAAGCTACGTTGAAGTCCTAACCTGCACTACCTCAGAATGTGACCCTACTTGGAAACAGGGTCTTTTCAGAGGTAATCAAGGTAAGATGAGTTGATTTGCATGGGCCCTAATCCACTATGACTGGTGTCTTTATAAAAAGGGGATATTTGGACACAGAGACATGCGTGTAGAAAGGCACGATGACGTGAAGACAGAGACACAGAAGAGCCAAGTGAGGACACAGACTGGAGGGACGCGGCCACAAGCCAAGGGATGCCTGGAGCCCCCAGAAGCCACAAGAGGCAGGAAGGACCCTTCCCTGGAGCCTCCACAGAGAACGCGGTCCTGCCACACCTGGGTTCAGGACTTCAGGCCCCCAGAATTGTGACAGGATACATTTCCGGTGTTTTGAGTCACCCAGTTTGCAGTGCTGTGTCATGGAGGCCCCGGGACACTCACACCAATGACTCACCCAAGGTCACGCAGCTGTAGTTTGGCCCCGAGCACCTGAGAGTTGTATCTCCAGGAACACGTGCCACACCCAGGGTGTGTGCTCACCACGAAGCCCAGTCCTCCGCCGAGGCCTGTGGCCCTCAGTGACCAGGACCTGGCCCCAAGAAAAACCCACACAGCCCAAGGCCAGAGCACCAAAAATTTATTAAACCCTCAACTTTCCCCAAAGCACAACTAGCCACACACAGCAGGGGGTGGGGGTGTCCCCCCCAGGTCTGCTCCTGTGTCCCAGGCCAGGGTGATCAGCATGAGGACACCCTGAACCATCAGGCCAGAGCCAGGCGGGGGGGACAGGGCGGGACATGTGGAGGAAGGTGGATAGGAGAAGGGCAGAGGCTTCTGGCTGGAAGTCCTGGACCCCCAGTACAAGGGGAGGGGAGAAAAGTAGCGCGGGAGAATGCGTGCAGCAGGTGGCCCCGAGAGCTGCCAAAGGCGGGGGACGGGGGTGGACACACAGAACAGAACAGATAAAACCAGCCCTTAAGATGCAGCTTCTGTCCTGGGTCGCGGGGCACACACATGCACACACGCGCACACGCACACACAACACACAACACAAGACACTCCTGGGGCGAGGGGCAGGGTCCCAGGGACTCCCCAACCAAGATAAAAACTGGGGTGGGGAGGAGCCAGGGCTGGGACAAAGCCCGAGGATGTACCAGCTGGGGGTGAGGTTTTGGTTTTTTCTCCAAAAGGGAAATTTAAAAATCTACAACAAATCATGGCAAATTCATTAAAAGTGATAAAAACCCAGCCTCTCCCTCCTGCTTGAGCTTCAGACTGGGCCAAAAAGGTAAACAAAGAAGAAAACGTGACGTGCCCAGGTCTCCCCACCCAAATACAAGTCCCAGCACAGGGAGCTACGGGGGACAGGATGGTCTGGGCAGCTGCAGCCGCCAGCATTTGCCCTCGAGAGCTGGGCGAGGAGGGGGCATGGGTGGGAGAGACCACCCCTAGGGCAAGAGTTGGTTTCCAAGGGCAAACTCTAAAAACATGAAAGATACTTTAGACAAAGGTATCAGAGGTTGGCACCGGGTGAGGGGCAGGGGGGCAGCGCCCCGCCCTCAGCTGTGCTGCTCCAGGTAGGCGGACAGGAGCAGCCCCGGGGGCAGGAAGTCCAGGTGCCGGTTGCTGACTTTCATCTGCCGCCTGCCCTCCAGGTCGGCACCTGCGGGAGGGGACGCATAGGCAAGAATTAAAGGAATCCCAGAGCCCTGGCACCTAGCGACGCCCCTTGCTTCTGCCCTGCTGGAGTCAGGCCTGGCTGGCACTTTGAGTCTGGCCGATTCTAAGCCCCCAGGTCCCTGGGCTCTGCTCCCAGGAACAACTAATGTCCCTGCGTGCTTTCACGCTGTGGCCCGCTGCCTCAGTCTTTGCTGGTACCTGTCCCATTGTACACCAGGGGACACTGAGGCACACAGGGCGCAGTGGATGCTCACACACCTGCCCGCCTGCGTGTTCAGCCTCCTCCCCCGTCTCCCCAGCTCTGCTCTGCAGAGGTGACTTTAAGGCATCAAGGCCCTGGGTGACCCAGACCCCATCAGCCTCCACTCCCCCGGTCTCCCCCTCACTCCAAAAGTGGAAGGTGCCATTGGCAACCCAAGCTCAGTCCCCCTCCCCCTACTCTCCATCCTGCTGGGGCCTTTCCTCCTCCTCCGTGTCCACAGCTTGACCCCCACAGAAAAGCCTCCCCCCCAAACCAAGCTCCTCCTCTGAGTCAGTGGGAAGAAAGGCAGACGTGGGGGGCCGCATCTCCAGCAGAGGGAACAGGGGAGGACCCAGCGGAGTTGCCATGGGAACCGTCTCCTTGGCAGCCCCAGGCAGGAGGCAGAACCAGATGGGACACTGGGGCCAGCAAGGGCCTGTGGGGATGCTCTCTGGGGGACCTGAGACCACTCCCTTATTGCAAAATGAGGACACAGGTCCTTCCAGGCCCGGCTTCATCACCCCCACCCCTGAAGATGTGGACCTAGGGGTTTCCGTGTCCGGCTGTGTCTGCAGTGTCACCCAGGGTGGGGCCGGGCACATCATCAGGGAGCTTCTGATGAATTAAACGCAGAGTCCCACTCCCACCGTTGCTCATGCTGTGCCCAGCCCCGGATCACCTTTCCCGCCTCCCCCAGCAGTCTCCCACCGACGAGCCAGACCTCATGGACTCTGCTTCCCAAGGTTGCATTGGCCACCTCGGGGGTCTTGGGTGTTGGGGGCCACCAGGTACTTACTGGCCGAGATGAGGTCCATGTATTGGCAGACAGCGTGAAGCAGAAGCCTCTCGAAGCTGCGGAGGGATGGGCGGTGAGACGCCATGCACAGGAGCCAGCCATAGTGGTGGGCGTCTTGCCACCCATGCCCACCTGCTCACCTGTTGTCCAGCATGGCCGTGTACACGGCCTGGGGGGACACGGAGAAGAACCTCAGCAGCCGCTCCTCCCAGGTCTCCAGTGTTCCCTGTGGGAGAAACGGGCCCAGCAGTCAGGCGACCGTGGGACCCTCACAGCACAGTCCAGGGACCCCACATCTGGAGCAGCCTCCAGAGCCCAAAGCCCCAGATTCAAATGTCACCTCTGTCATGTCAGCACATGAGGCTACTGAACTGTCTCCAAAGATACCAGGCACTCGGACACCAGACCTTCTGCCCAGCCAACTCCTATGCACCCTGCAGTGCCAACCTTCATCGCCCCCGCCCCTCCTACTCTCAAGGAAAGCTCTGCCATCAAAAAAGGCCGAGCAGGTGAGAAGAGACGAGGCCAGGCACTCACCATGGGGATGCGGCTGCGCTTGAGGACGGCCCGCAGACGCCGGCTGATGCGCAGAAAGCACTCGCGGGGCGTGTAGGGCGTGTAGGCCGGGTCCTCTGCAAGAGCGGGGCGTGGGGGGCCGTGGTGCAGGTGGCCCGGCCCCGCCCACAGGTGCCCAGGCCCCGCCCACAGAGACTCCACCCCATGCCCAGGCCCCGCCCATAGCACATTGGCCCCACCCACCAGGCCCCACCCACACAGACTCCTCCCCCTGCGTCCTGGCCGAGCCCGCTGTCCCCAGCCGAGCTCAACCCGGGCTCCAGGCCCCGCCCACCCGCGCCCTGGCCCCACCCGCCATGCCCCGCCCACACCCAGGCTCCGCCCACCCGCGCCCTGGCCCCGTCCCCAGCCCGGGCGCACCTCTCCGCCGGTCTTCCCCGCGGCCGGGCCCTCTCCTCCGTGCCTTGCTCTTGCCTTCCTCCTCCAGGTAGCGGAGCACCCGCTCCTGCTCCTCCCCAGAGCGGTTCATAAAGTCGTTCCAGACCTGGAAGAGGGGCAAGGCAGGGTCTCTGGGCCTCAGTTTCCCCATTTGGCAGGTGGACACAGAAGGCCACCAATCCATGGAAGTATTCCTTGAACCTCTGCCCACTGGGCCGGCTGAGAATGTACAAGCACGGGGCACCTAAGGTGTACAGGGCACTGCCGGGTGCCGGGGAAAGCCGGGGACCACGAAGACCCAGTTGTCTTGAGTGTGGGATCAGTACAGATCAAATACTCCCTCAATCCAGTCACTGATTCCAAAGGCGCTGGAGGGTTCCGGGGCTGGGTTGGGGGTTCTGGACTGGTCTGGGGAGCCCTAGGGACATTCAACAACAGACCAGAAGGGGGAAGGTGCTCCTGGCAGAGGGACCAGCATAGGCCCTGGCCTGGCAGGCGCCCCAAGTGTGTCAGGCTGGAGAACCCGCCGAGGCTGCTGTGGCCAGACTGGAGGAAGGGGGTGCGGGGCCTCACCTCCACGTAGGTGGCGTTGTTGCAAGCCTCTGCAAAGATGCCTGGCACAGCGGGGGGTGCCAAGTCCCCATCCTCCAGACCTGGTGGGCCCCCGTTTGTCTCCAGCAGGGTCAGGAGGTACTGGGCTAGATGGAAACAGATGGTCTCTGGGCTGGGGTTAGCATTCAGGCCCCCCGAGGAGCATGGGGACCCAAGAACCATCCTTCCCTCTTCACGGTCTCCCCACCTTTATGCTGCAACTGTCTTTCACAGAAGGCACAGGGACCCTCCAGCCTCCAGAACTCCGCCCACCTCTCCCTGACTTGTTGAACTCCTACACATCCTTTAAAGCCCCAGCTCCAATGCCCAGAGTTCCCTCTGCCAAGCCCAGATCCAATAGGTCTAGGGGGCATCTGTGTCCGGGTCTGTTGCCTGATCCCCTGGCCCAGAGCTGAGACTGCTCTGGGTCCCCACCATTAGCCGGCTCATGGGAAGAGTACCAGATAATGCCAACATGCACACCATTCTCATCCGAGACCTAGAAGTCCCCAGTCCCCGCTCACTGTTCTCCAGGCGCTGGAGGCTCTTCCGCCCCTTGGCCTTGGGCACGAGGTCTGAGTTCCGCACAGCCTGGTTGATGAAGTGCTGTTTCCGCCTGGAAGCCGAGAGCCTCTTCACCTGGGAGCTGGCTAGAGTGGGCAGGCAGCCCGGGAGAGGCCTGTGGGTCAAGGTGGGGGTGGGCAGACGGTCCTCAGGGCCAAGGCAGGCCAGGACCCCCAGGTAGAACCCTACCCTAGCCATTGCCTCCTCGGCTTCCCCCAGCAATGGGGGGCTCATCCCTTCCATGCACAAAGTCCTGGGCCCTTAAAATCTCATTTTGCTTCATTTTCACATCACCCAGGAGGCAGGCACAATTGCAATGACAGATTAGTAAACTGAGGCCCAGAGTCGGGAAGATACCTTCCCAAAGCCACACAGTGGCGGGTGGCCAAGAAAAGCTGCCACCCCCACCCCCACCGAGCCTACCAGATTTTATTTTATTTATTTATTTATTTATTTAAAAAAGATGACCGGTAAGGGGATCTTAACCCTTGACTTGGTGTTGTCAGCACCATGCTCACCCAGTGAGCTAACCGGCCATCCCTATGTGGGATCCGAACCCTTGGCCTTGGTGTTATCAGCACCGCACTCTCCCAAGTGAGCCACAGGGCCGGCCCCCGAAAATTTCGAAATTTTGATTGGCATTTGAATCTCCCACCATTAACTTTGTCATAAACATCACCAGTAGGTGGCAGCAGTTTCCTGTTATAAAAATACAGTAAGTAGCTAAGACAAAGAGTAGTGGTTTTTTTTTTTAAAGATGACCGGTAAGGGGATCTTAACCCTTGACTTGGTGTTGTCAGCACCACGCTCAGCCAGTGAGCGAACCGGCCATCCCTATGTGGGATCCGAACCCGGGGCCTTGGTGTCATCAGCACCGCACTCTCCCAAGTGAGCCACGGGCCGGCCCGAGCCTACCAGATTTTAGCTGCAAGTCAGAGAAGCCCACAGCCTCCAGGACTTGAGCGCCAGCCTGCTCTGGAAGTTGGAGAATGAAGGAATTTGATTTTACCTAGCAGCCCCCACCCTCAGCAGCACATAAACCAGGAAACAGCCCCCAGAAGCTCAAGGTGATGCTCAAGCCCACGTGCCTGATGCCCCCAAGTCCCCTGCCCCAGTGTGCTCCAGGGGCCAGGATTAGGGAGGGGGCTGGAGGGGCCCCCTTGGCACTAATCTTCCCTCTTCCGAGCAAATGGCATTAATTGTCAAGACGGATTAGCCGGCATGGCCAGGCCTCCCGCTGGGGACCCAAGGGCCAAGCCACTTGGCAGCAGGGGACAGGCAGGTACAGCAGGCAGAGAAGCCATCCAGGAAACAGGTGGGGGGGCCCTCTTAGATGGAAAGTTTTGGCCAGGAGAAACCACATGGTCCACTTGGTCAGCCCCTGACAGCCCCCAGACCATAGGCTGCAGAGGAGTGTCCCCACCGGGCTCAGAAACCCTCACACCATGGGACCAACAATGGATTCTGGGGTCTGGATTTACCAGGATTCCTCCTGGACACATTTGCTAACCAGCCCCCACCCCCACACTCTGCTCCATCCACACAGAGGGGCCTCCTGCTGCTCCCTGCTCCTTCCTGCATGTCATTTACAGTCCCCCCTCCAGACCTTTGCGCCCACGGTGACCCCAGACTCCACATGGCTCGCTGGCTCTCCTCCTCTGGCTTTGGCCCAAACCCCCTTGGTGAGACCCTCTCTAGTTAATACCTCACTTTTTCCCCCATCCTCACTCCCTGCTGGGTTTAGTTGCCCGCTGTACCCCTGGCACTCACAGCCAAGCCTATCACACAGTAGGTACTCAAAAACACTGCCAAACCATTTCTCAAAAAAAAAAAAAAAAATCCCATGATTCCAAGGCTAAGCCCAGCATCCAAAATTCCACCCAAATTTTCCTAAGCATCCAGAGTTCCAAGACACAGATTAAAAACAGATGCATATCGCCCCCTGCCCACTCCCTCAAAAACTAAAAAAAAAGCCATTGAAACTCCAGGACAGTCGAGGCAAGATGCATCAAAGGGGTTAGGGCGAGATCAGTGCTCACCACGGTCTGCACATATGTAAAGAGTGCTTGGCCCCTAAATTTGTGCACTTTACAGAATGGCTGTCACATCTGGATCAAAAAGTCAACAGGGGACGGCCGGTTAGCTCCTGCGGTTGGTTACAGCATAGTGCTGATAAGCTGATAACACCAAGGTCCAGGGTTCAATCCCTGTACTGGCCAGCCGCCAAAAAAAAAAAGCCAGAAAAGTAAGCAGGCTGGCAAGATCTGGTGCCGCCTGCAGTTGGCATGGGGCAGGCAGGTAAACAGCACAGCCTCCATAAGCTGATAACACCAAGGTCCAGGGTTCAATCCCTGTACTGGCCAGCCGCCAAAAAAAAAATGCCAGAAAAGTAAGCAGGCTGGCAAGATCTGGTGCCGCCTGCAGTTGGCATGGGGCAGGCAGGTAAACAGCACAGCCTCCATGGATGGCACTTTAGGCAAAAAATCTATGAAAACTTATCTGATGGATAAGCCCACATGTACACAAGTTCCAATCCATAGGAGACACGTGGGCAGAGGCACGGGTCCGACTTCAACCCTGGACAGGCACTTGCCGGCCAAGGCATGCAGGGAACTCAGAGATGCATCCTCAGGGGACTGTAGTGAGGAGTGTGGCCCTGGAACCTCAGCCCTGAGTTTGAGTTCTGTCTACAATGCTCACTCTCTGCAAAGCGGGGATAAGAACAGTCCCTGCATGTGGGTCTGGGAGATGGCACTCAGGGCCAACGGGGCGCGGGGCCAGGACAGCTGCCACCTGCTTGGTTTCTTCCTGTGACAGGGAGTTCACTCCCTGGACCATGCCGTTCTTATCATAGCAATGTCCCTGGGGTAAGCGTTTCCTCTGTGGTGGGCTCACTCACATCACCTGTATCATTACCCAGGAGGCAAGCACTCTTATTCTGATGCCCATTATACAGATTTGTAAACCAAGGCACAAACATTCTGTCCCAAGATCCCACTGTTGTAAAAAGAACAGTTGGGACAAGACCTGGCAGACCATGTCCTCAGCACACAGCATGGCATCTGCTGTGCACTCAATGAACGCTCGCAGTTATGTTAAGCCAGCGTCTCCAAGGCTGTCCCACCAAGGCCCAAGCACCCCCCACCTAAACCCCAGATTCACTACACAGTCTACCCAGGGCTCCAAGCATCTACGTCTCCACCCCAGCAGCTGGATAGAGCTGATAACAGAGGCCGCATCCCAGGGGACATCAGAGCAGGGCGTGACTCCATGACACAGCTCAAACATGGCAGCATCCCCGTGTCACAGATGAGGGATCTGAGCCATGAAAGCAGGGCTTCCCCATCACCACGCATGTGAGGTGGAGCAGGATGTGAACCCAGCCTGACCTTGAATCACCGAGTCCCATCAGACCACAGCCCATCAGGCCCGAATGGCCCGCTCCCAGCTCCAATGCTGCCCATGGCTCCCCAGTACCCTCAGGGCAAGGCCCAACTCCTCCTTGGCCCGGGGTTGGACCGCACAGGCCTGTGCCTGGATCTACAGGAGTTGGGAGGTCTCGCCACACTCTCATGGGTCTCAGCACTGAGCCGAGCTCTGGAACGTGAGTCCCACCACCCATCAAGCCTGCTGAGTTCAACCAGATTCCAGCAGAAGACTAGAAACCAGGGCAGACTGGGGGGCCTGGAGTCACCGACACCCCACTCCAGAAATGGAGGAAATGGGGCCAAAGGGGGAGGGGCGGAGCACATCAAAATATCTGTGCCCAACCACAGGGCCCTCCTCACTGGGCCTCGAACTCACCGGGAACGGCCTCGCCTCAGGACCTTTGCACGTGCTGAGCCCTCTGCCAGAAGCACCCTTTCTCTGTCTCATTCTGGCCTCTGTTCAAATGTCCCCTCCCCAGAGAAACTGCCCCCCCCCCAAATAACCCAATCAGCCTGGCTGCCTTCCTGCTTTACCAGTTGGCACCTCAAACCAGCTGGTCCATCCACTTGCTTACTGCTCAGTCACAGCCTCACTAGACCCCGAGAGCAAGACGGGTCCCCAGTGCCCAAGGCCACAGCGGTGCTCACTACGAGTTTGTTGAATGAATAACCAAACTTTTTACACACACACACAGGCCAGTTCAACTGCTTCCCACACCACCCCACAAGACTACTTTACAGATGGGAACTCCAAGGACCCAGAGTGTCTGAGGCTTCCTGGACCCCGTCAGGAGAGGTTTACACTGTGACAGTTGCCAGGATCCACAGAGTATGGACAGGCCGAGCAAGGCAGCTGCAGAATCAGGCTGGGTTCTGGGAGAACAGGTGTCTGGCCACCCCCAATTCTACTCCTTGAGGGTTTTGAGATGTGACCTTTTGACCTCCTCTCCCCTAAGCAAAAACACACCTTTCCAGCAACTGGCTCACTGCCCCTGAAAACTGGCAAGAGAGGAACCCAATTCCCCAAGCAGGAAACCAAGGGCTCAGAGCGGAGGTGACTCAGCCTGGGGTGGGGCAGAGTGGGGGGCCCCAGCTGTCACCAGCCCCCCACCAGGATGCGGAGGGGAGGGGCAGCTGGCAGGTCATTACCCAACAAGCTGGGGCTGTGATGAAGGCCTGGGGGGAAGAGAGGAATCAGGCTGGAAGTCCGTGTAAACATATTTACATATTTGCACACCAAATAGCTACACGCAGGTTTTAAAG